CTTGGTTTCAGACCAGTTGTAACAGCTGGTCTGACAGAGCCGACCACCTGCCGGAAGAGCTGCGCCATGCGCACCTCATGCTTGAAGGCCGAGGAGTTGACGAACCAGATCGTCACGGGCCGCAATGCGTGACGACCGGAATGAATGCAACCCGAGTGGTGCCACGGATCAAACCGTCGGCATGCTGCATGTTGTCGGCGGCAACGGCCGCGAGCACCCTCGGCGTAACCACGTTGCGGTAGTCGAAGCGCCCGATCGAGACGGTGGGAGGTAGAGCCCATGCGGGACTCCCCACGAAAGCCACCACGACGTTGTTGCGCCGCTCGATCGAGACGATGTGAGCCCATGATGGACTCACACGAGATGCAACCAGCGTCGCGCTAGCTGGTCAAATTGCCGGCTTGTTGAGCTCGTTGGGGTCAACGGCTGCGAGCACACGCGACGCAAACCACCCTGCGGTAGCCGTGCCGCCGGGTTAGGTTTTAGGTCGCTTCAACCATGTTTAAACAGCCTAAAACCCAATGACGCGCTAAGACCCAATAAAACCGGGTCCGGTCGTGCGGACGTGCTACCATGACACAGCGGTCGCAGACTGCAACGTCGGCCTTGGACGTGGACGGAATCGTCGATGCCATCGTGCACTCCGCGCCGGCGCCCAGCGACATTATCAACTTCCTTGGCGCCCTCCCGGCAGACGCGCGGTCGCCAGCGGTTAGCGCGGTCCTCGGCCTCTTAAACCACCCGCGCGGCTTGCAGCACTGGCCGGTCGCCCATCTCGATGACGCGTGCATCGACAAGTGGGATCTCGTCGGTCCTGCGATGCCCGCCTTGCGCTCGGTCTCGATCGCGAACGTACCGACGCGCGCGCGCTGGTTGCAGTTTTGCGAGCACGTGGCCCATTGCCTGTTCAAGATCCTCGTGCGGCGGGCGACCGTGGAACCACTCGCTCCAGGCCTCACAAAGGACGAGGTCGCCCACGGTCTGCGGCTGTGTACGTCTCTCCGCGACGTGGGGTTCTCATCCGACGCTTCGCTGCTCTCGGCGGTCCCGACGCAAGCGCACCATGTTCGCCAGCTCAAGCTCACAAACGTGGCGCGCCTGCCGACGGACGCCTTGATGCAGTGGCTCGGGTCGGGTTGTGCTGAAGCCTTGATCTTGCGCATGTGCACCTCGACGGACAACGACGCGTGCACTCTCGACGTCGCCGCTCCTCTCAAGCCTCACGGTCACGGGGTTCAACGAGGGGTTCAACGCACTTGTGCAGCGCTTCGTTGATGGGCGTCTCCCACTGCGCCAGCTCTCGGTGCTCGAGATCACGTTCCGGAACGCGATGAGCCCGCGCACGCTGCTTGCATCGCTCGACCTGTTCAAGATGGTCACGCTGCACCTCCAAGGCAACCTCAGCTGCGTCGTCGGGGCGCTTTCTGGCACGCCGGTCCTTGATGAGCTCAACTTTCAGCGCACCGCTCTCTCGAACGCGATGGACATGCAACCAGTGGTGCGGGGTCCGTCTGCTGTGCGCCGCGTTCGCTTCCACCGCCGCAGTGTCTCGGATGCGGGCTTTGACGCGATGCTTCACATCATCTTGCGCCTCGAAAGCATCGAGTCGACTACGCAGTTGGTGCCTCTGCGCTCATGGAAACCATCGCGACATGCGCCAACGTGGGCGCGTACATCTTGGGCAGCTGGGCCAAGGACATTCAAGACGATGCCGTGCTGCGCGCGATGACGACGTTGGGTCACGTGACAGTCACCAAGGGCCTTTCCAGCCCGCGCTTGGCCTCGCCGCGCCGCTAGTCGTCCTCATGTTGCATGCTTTATGGCGAAGCACAAGAGAAGAATGGTGCATTTGAGTGTTTATATTTCATTTCCTGTCTGGGCAATATTCACGAACAGGGTAGCCGACCTTCCGGAGGTCGGCCGACAACCCTGCGCTCGAGATAGATTTTTTTTCATGGCTTCTGATTGGATGTTGCCCGTCTCACAGGTTACTCGGAACTCTTCCTTAACACACCTCGAGAGTGCTGGTTTAATCGTAACATAAGTATGGGCGACGTACAAGATGGTTCTCACATGCATTTCCACCGTGTGAAATGCGCATGATA